TGATCCCACCTGGGTACCCAGTTGCTCTCCTCCAGGCCCTTCCTTCCCCAAGTCACTGACCACCTCGCCCTGCTCACCCGGTACAAGCCGATCCAGTCCCAGGAGCTACGGGCGAACACGGTTTCCACGCGGTACCTCACCACAGCCTGCTCCGGCCGCACCCACTCTTCTGCCACCTCCAGCCGCACCAGGGGCATGTCGTCCCTGAAGGCAAACTGCCCAGGGGCAGGGGCAACATCAGCGAAGACCCTGTAGCATTCCATGCACCCTTGGGCCTGAGCCAGCACACATAGGCTGAGATAAGGGCCTTTGAAGCTACTGCAGAGACGGGGAAACTGAGGCAGAGCAGGTCTAGGATAAAAGCTAGACTTCCTGCCTCCCAGCCCAGGGCTCTTCTGCTCAGAGCCTCCTTAAGGCGTGAATGAGAACACAGCTTTGAAGCTCGTAGACCATGGGTTTGGCCCTGGCTCTATCTCTGACAGTCTACAGGACCCTTGGTGAGTTTTTCTTTCTTTAATATATTTTTACTGATTTCAGAGAAGGGAGTGGGAGGGAGAGATAGAAACATCAATGACAGGAGAGAATCATTGATAGGCTGCCTCCTGCACGCCCCCTACTGGGGATCGAGCCTGCAACCTGGGCCTGTGCCCTTGACCGGAACCAAACCTAGGAGGGACCCTTCACTCTGCAGGCTGACGCTCTATGCGCTGAGTCAAACCAGCGAGGGCTTGGCGAATTTTACAACCTCTCTGAATGCCAGGGCTCCTGTCTATAAACTTGGATGATCTTATTGAACTCTTGGAGCTGTTCGGCAGATTCAATGAGATGCCGTTCGTGAAGCGTCCCATACACTTCCCAGTCCACAGCAGGTGCCCACTTAGTGATTTGCCTATTTGCTAGTCAGGGAGACATGATGTGCTGGGTATTCCGGGGTAAGCCGAACACCCCTGAGTGGGCCAGAAAAGCCCGGGTAAAAGGCAGGTCACTTCTAGGCTCTGCTACTCGCTTGCTTTTTGACCTCAAGGAAGGCCCCCAGCCAACCCAACTCCCAGCTTCCCCTTCCGTATAGCAAAGAGGTGACGATGACCCTGTCATCAGTCCATAAAGACACTTTATAGCCACGGGCACCCTCCTCCCAGGGTCACCCGCATGGGTGGGGTTGCCGGGGTGGCAGGTGGCCAGGGTAGTGGCCCCTCCTCTGTCCCTCAGAGAAGGACTCCAGTGGTGCCAGCCTCAGTCTTTTGTCTGCTTCCTGTTGATCTGGTTTCAGGTTTCCCTCCCGCGGCTTCTGAGCCAAACTGTTCCAGAAAAAAAAAAACCCCAACACAGCACATCCTCTCCCTGCCCCTGGGCTCCAAATCGCCAGTCTGGCCAGGTTGGGCTCTTGGGAATGGCCTCCAGGATCAAAACTTCCGCTAACACCCCCTCCACCTCCCTCCCCCCACCCCCAACCCTCATTCTGATAGTGTTGCTTTTTGGGTTAGAGACTTGAGTTTTCTGAGCCTCCGTTTTCCCGGTAAGGAAACTGGGAGGAGAATTTGGACATCGCAGGGCCTACTCAAGGCATTCAAAGGGATGACATATGTCAGGTGCCCCACACGGGGCCTGGCATGTAGTCGGTGCTCAACAGGCAATGTTTACAGGGGACAGAGTCCCAGATGAGGAGGGAGGCTCAGGGAAGGACATCCAAGAGGAGTGGTTCTCAAGGTGAGGGTTAAACCTCACACCTCAGCCCTTTTTCCAAAGGTCACAGGAGGCCAGACACAGGCAGATTGTCTTTCCCAGCTGCGAATATTGGCCAATGTCCCACTGACGGACCATGTGACAAAGTTATCAAGGAACACATTCTCTGGCCTGCTGGGCTCCCCCTTATCAGATCAAGAGATCGGAGAGCCTCGCGTTGGGTTTCAGAGCTGGAAGGATGGAATCTACCCAGCTCTGCCATTGAGCCTGTGTGCAACTCGGGGCACGTGTCTACCCCACTAGGGGCTTCAGTTTCCCTATCCGGTTGGGTTACCTCGTCTCTGGGTCCAGTTCTGACATTCTTGCATTTCCTCTTTTTACATTGGCAACTAGGGCCTCAACCCTCAACACAATGCTCAATTATAGTAACTATTCAGAGTTTAGCTTTGTATTTTTTATATCTCTACGCCTTCTCCCCATAACTACCTTACTCTTATAATGCCTGTCATATTATAATGCCATATGTTATGATGGTTCATAAAAAAAAAAAAAATAGCCCTAGCTGATTTGGCTCAGTGGCTAGAGCGTTGGCCTGTGGACCGAAGGGTCACGGGTTCGATTCCGGTCAAGGGCACGGACTTTGGTTGCAGGCTCCTCCCCAGCCCAGGCCCTCGTCAGGGCACGTGCAGGAGGCAACCAATCGATGTGCTCCTCTCACATCAGTATTTCTCTCTTGTCTTTCCCTCTCTCTTCCACTCTCTCTAAAAATCAATGAAAAAATATCCTCGGGTAAGGATTAAAAATAAAATAAGTATGAATAAATGCTGCATGGGGTTAAAGTAAACATTTGGAGTTTGCTGGCCTTATTATATGTTTGAATTTTAACATAAGTTTCCCTAAACCTTTCTTGGAGGAAGGGAGCTAGAGATTAGTGGAAAAGGCCTGGGTTCTGAAACCAGACTCAACTGGGTTCAATTCCTAACTTTTCCCTTTACCAGCTGTGTGACCCCGGGCATGTGATGCTGTGTCTCTGAGCCTCAGTTTCCTTATAGGACAACGGAGATCATAACCCACTCCCACTCGGCTTCAACAAATGGGGACGGCCAAGGGCAGGTACGAGGGGTGGGCTGTCGAATGCTGAGCGGGGCTTGGGGACGTCATGAGAAGAGGGTGAGGCCAGGACTCACGTGCAGGACGAACTGGGCAGCCACAGGCTTGTGGTCACTGACAGTGTATTCCATGTGGCTTCGGTAGCTGTGCTGAGTCACCTGGAGCCAGTGGCTCTGCTGTCCGGAGGGGCTTCGACCTCCACCTGGAACCTTGACCTTCCACAGGATACGGTCTGTCCAGGCTGGCTTCCGCTTTTTGGCACTGCGGTGGGCAGCGGGTCAAGGCACAGCCCTCAGCCTTGCCTCCCGTCCCTCTTCCCTGGCGTCCTTATCTTGAAGACCTCAGCCCACAGCCCCCCACCTCATCCCAGAGCGGAGCTCACCTGGTATCGTATTTGTTAGTACCCACGTCAAACTTGAAGGTGGGTGCAAAGTTGAGGGGCCCCTCCTGGAAGCCCTTGAGGATGGGCCAGGTGTCCTTGGCCATGTTGAGCTGTGAGGGTCCAGAAAGGAAGAATTGGACCACAGCTTGGGCAGGGCAGGGCAGGTGAGGGCAAAGACCATAGCCTGGGGTCCAGGTGTGCTAGGGATTTGGGGGTGCAGGCTGGGGTTCCGCACCTGGTCCTTCTCCCAGAGCTGGTGGAGCTGGTTGTTGTCAATGGCGAACTTGACAAAGTGCAGGTCGTAGCTCTCGATGCGGAAGTTTAGGTCCCCAAACCAGAACACAAGGCTGTGGGGGGTGGGGGCAGTGGGGTCCATTGGGTGGAAGAGCCCAACCCAGATCCTTCTCCACCCCCATCCAACCCGACAGCGCTGGATGCCCCTAGCGATGGCGAAGTGGCTGGGTGGCCGCATAGCCCCCAGCCCGCCACGGAGTAGCAGTGAGCTGTGCATCTGGAAATCTAGGTTCAGACCCTCAATACGGCTCTACCCCTCAGCAATGCGCCACCCTGCAGGCTCGGGCCCCATCAAACTTACCAGCATTCCAGCTCCTAGACGGGGTGACCCACCTCATCAGCCCCGCCTTTCCCCTCCAGGCCCACCCAGGACAGTATCAAGTTCCTCCTTGCCCATTAGGGGGCACGCTCCGCCACCAGCCCCGCCCCGGCCCGGCCCGTACTCGTGGTCCAGGATGCCTTGCGCCCCGGGCCCCTGGAACTGCTGGAGGCTCAGGATGGTCTGGAAGTTGTCCTTGCGCTGCTCCGCCTTGTCCATGTGCGCGGGCAGGTGGCAGTTCAGGAAACAGAGCATGTGCCCGAAGGCCGCCAGGCGCACGCTCACGCCACCCTTGTTGCCCTTGGGAGGCAACGTCGGGCAGGTCACGGGCGGGGTCCGG